GGTTGTTATCTTTGTGCGATATCTTACCTTACCACCATGTTCAATATCTTGATATGATGCACATGTTTGAGCCTCATTTTTGAGAATAAATTTTGTAAAAAATGATTTTTTGGGGGGAATTTGTGAATAAAAAGTAGGGAAATGCTTTAAGTTTATGTGCAAAATTATTTTATTGGGAGAACGTGGGTTGAAAATGAGTTTTGGGAAGTAGTTTTAAAGAATGAGGCTCAAACAGGGGCAATATCTTTATACATCTTGAATGAAAATAAAATAAAGTAATATATTCAGATTAGGTGTAACGTCCCAAGTCCAACACTCTTTTATTTTTATTTACTTGATTTGATCGATAAATTAATAAAGATAATATAACAATTTAAATAAAATTTCAGAATAAATCAACATATCAACCTACTACAAATTCAAAAAGAAAAAGGAACTCAATTTAACATAAAATGTCCAAAGTTCGATCACAAAAGTACTAAAATAACGTGCGCATAATTAAATATAGAATGTCCTAAAAATGAAAATTTGACAATAATCATTCTTTTATATCTTTACTTTGTTGACCCCATAAGCACCATTCAATCAATTTGTCACACGTCCACACGACCCGTACTAATTTAAAAGGTTATTGTAAGAGTGAGTATTTTAAAAAAAACGCAGTAAGAAATATATGCATATTCTTATTAACATGATATAAATATAAAATGACATGACATACCGATATTTCTTAGATTTGGAACAAACTGGTCGCGACATCCAATAGCTCAAGGAATTTCATAAGAATTCCTATATCCCGTAGGATTTACATACTCGACCAAAAGTTTCATTCCGTAGGATTTAACATAAAAATTGACCCAAGGCCTTAACGTATTTAATGCCAAAATCTATAAAAATACCAAGAAAATAAGAATTTACCACTTGCACAATTTTTACTTCAAATGATATTTGAAATATGCCTTTGAGACAATAAGTAAAAATGGACAGAATGCTTGTATGAGAATGAGAACCAACTTGTGAATTTGGATTGTGACTGGTAGATCAAATAACACTCTAAGTGTATGTGTTAATGTGTGAAAATCATATGCATGATAACAGAATAAAATTTTTTGGCCTATATTATATATACATATACACACGGTGTCTGTTTGGGGATGCTTACAATTCTAAATCATGTAAAACGTCAAATAAACAAATAAAAATAAAATCTGAAATGTAAAACGTCAAATAAACGTACAAAGGTAAAGTCCGAAAATCAATTGATAAATAAATAAAACTTTTATTTCCAATCAATCACGTCGGTTTGGATGTGGAAGTTCAATAATAATAATAATAATAATTAATTATTTATTATATAATTTAATGAATTAATATGTACCATTTCAAATTCCTTGGAAGTTGCACCAGCAGTAACATTTTCATTTTGAGTAATTGTCCTTTTTTCTATTTAGTTATATATTTTTTTATAATAAAATATAGGTTTTTTAGAGTGTTTTCTTTATATCAAAATAACTTGAATATGATTGGTCCAAAATTATTTTTTCTCGAGCCAATTTATGTTATTCAACATGAGCTACAAAATGAGTATAATATATATATATATATATATAATTTTATTTTTACTTTTAAAATACTTAAATATTCGACACAAATAACTCACGATAAATTCTACGCGTAACCAAAATAAATCATTTATGCAATTTAGTGAGTCGCGTGTATCACTTTTGACTTTTGGGCCTTAATTTGACTATAGGGCTCGACATAGACTATTTTATTTACTAAATCACCTAATTCAATTTAGCCCATATGGAATAAGATTTAAAATTCGGGATGTTACGTTAGGCATTTTCTTTGTTTGCTCATGCATTGTTTTTAATACAGGTCTTCTATCAGACAAAGGAGAAACCCTAGGGAAACTGCAGATCTTACTAGCATTCAGGAACTTGTTAAAGATATTGATTCCAATTTTCACTCTGGTATAGGTCATATATCCATTTTAATTAGACAACGTTTTCACCTCAGTGGCAAGTATTTCTATTGACTTGGGTTGTTAAAGGGTTGCTGGATATTATTGGGCACTGCACATACATTGGGATGGCAGATGATGTTTTTGCTCTGCTTCAGCACAGCACTCACCTTTATCTTGCTAATGTTGTTAACTTGAGGTAACTTATCGTTTTACTATTTTTTTCCTAGGTAATTTAAAGAGTAACTTTAAGTTATGCTTTTTTGAAACCTGATTTAGGACTGCTGTAGAAAAACTTTTTTCTAACTCAAAATTCAGGGATTTTTTTTCCTGGGAAATTTAGGATAAATGGAAAAGTAGAATTTTGTTTAGGAGATTACCTAATGGTTGGTGAAGAACACCAAATATTTGGTAAATTATATCACTGCTTCATATAACAGATCTTTTGATGGGTATAGATGTTGAAGTTGTTAATAACTTGTAGGTTTGTAAGTGGAAACAGAAAACAGGTCACTGTATGTCAACTGAAATCCTGTACACAATTCCACCTGGTTTTAAAAATTGTGTAATTCACTTTTTGACATCTGCAAGCAGCTCTGATTTAACTGAAAATGATGTTCGCTGACAATGAAACTATTACCTGTCTTGCTTTGTTTTTCTACTGGGGCCAAAACTTGCATTCTGCATCGTATGACTTACTAAACTTGTATACATATTGTCTATCTTAAGCATTTTGCTCGGTGTCATGTTTCACATTATCAGTACTTTGCTTGACTTCCAATCCTAATCTTTCCTTCTTGGTTGGTTATTCTTTCATTCTTGTCTGTGATGTTCTGACAGCAAAGAGCTTATGTACCAGCAAGTTTTGCGACGCTTTTCACATTTTAATGTAATTCAACTCAGTGAGCCCTCTCCATTGCAAGAATTACTAATGCTGGCACTTAAAGAGGAAGATTTGGATCCTGAAGTCAATGAAAATGAAGGCCTAAAAGAAAAGATTGCAGAAGTAACTCATCTAGGACTTGGCACTAACTATTAATTCTGTAAAATATTAGGGTTTCTTTACAGATTTGTATAAGATTGATTTAGTTTTTTATTTTTTGATTTTTAATTCTTGCACTGCATTTCCTTGCTGGTTTTAATTGAAGTTTCTCTGTTCACGTTAGAGCTAGTACTAGTAGCTGCAGAAGTTTATCATTTCGGGCATCAAGCAGACTATACTTTTAGGACTATTTAATTCATTATTGATTTTCAACAATTTATGATTTTTGGCACACCTATATTTTATCCCAACTGGTTTGTTTCACCCTCAATATTGCATCTACGTCTGCCATGGCAACACAAACCAATCCTAAATACTAGTGGGTCCCTTAACTATTGCCCAATTACTACTGTGCTACTATCATACCTTTTGTATACCATATCAAGGCTGTTGTATTGGGATTATAAAATGAAATTTCATGGTATATGTGGACCTAAAGTATCTATTGGATAGATGAGTTTGGTGGGTAGTTGTTTGCAATCTATTCCAGTAGAACGGTAAGTTCCTATTGTTGCCATTAAGACTAGATAGGTTAAGAGGTTATGTCAGCACTTGGTGGGCAGATTATGTTCAATAAAGGATCTAAAGAGGTATTGATCCAATTGTTAGCTCTAAACTTCATTATTTGTATCATTACACATAAATGTATATAATCATACTCCTAATTCCGTAAGTTACTTCTTCTAGTCAATTGAAGAATCTGACCAACAAAGGATTTGAATTCTGTTGATGGAATAATATCTGATGTTGAGTATGACTAATACATTCACTTGATTATGCTCATTCTTTTACTTCTAATATTTTCATTTCTTTTCTTTGCTAGATGAATGCAGATCTGCTCAAGCAGAAGACTGAGATGCTGGAGGAGTATTTTGGCATTTATATTGAACCCAATGGTAATTTGTCGAGGATTCCTGTCATACTTGATCAGTACACACCAGACATGGACCGTGTTCCAGAGTTTGTTCTTTGTTTGGGCAATGATGTAAGTGCCATGCCATTCATCTCTTTTGCCCTTTCTTATTTACATTATAATTTAGGTGCAAATAATTCAGTTTGATGCCCAAGAAGGTTATGGACCTACTGAAGTTAATTACTCTAAGCCAAATTTTGTGAGTTACCACATAAGAATAATTTATCCATCGCTGAAGTTATTGTTTTACCTTCATAAATATATGATTGATGGCATTCTTAAGTGATCTACCGCTTCAGCGTCTCTCTCTCTCTCAATGCACTATTATGGGGTCTAAGATGCCACAATATTTTGTTGTTAAAACTGTTTTTTAGCCACCAGAGAAATATAGCATGGTAGATGTGGGGCATTTGCCTCCTCTCCCAGAGTTTCTAAAGGCAGTTAAGAGCAATAATGGTAATACAAAGGAAGTTCAGTTTTCTTAATACTTCAATTCCTACATTTACTCATTTCAAAGAAACAAACAAGTTTTACATAATTGCATACAGTTGCCCTCTGGAATATCCTTGATCCATCTTTACCATTATCAATCTGGCCCTGACATCACAGCATTCAGGAGGCTTCCTGATCTAAACTTCCATTTGTGATATTCTCCATGACTCTGCTGATTAAATAATTTAATGGTGGAATATTGATTATTTGAATTAGAATATGAACTGTGTATCATCTGTTACCTTTACTCTAGAATGTAAATGAACATCTATTTCTTTTGGTTATGTTTTATTTTGTCTTATTGAATTTGTCAGGGGAATCTTTTAATGATGGAGTTATGATATCACGATACTTGCTGCCAATAGTTTGTGTTGCTTCAGCTGTGTTTTAGTATTGAGTACTGCTTTGTTCTTATGATCTGAAGAAATTCTCTGCATGGTAGTTTTGAGAATTGTTTTATGTGACTTCTCTACATGTTTGAAGAGTGTCCCTGGTGGAATAACTTTTCTAAATCTGCATACTTAATAACAATTCTAGCATCTAGCAAAAATAGTTCGAAATGCATGATATTACTGCCTGGTTTCTGGAATTTGCTGATTATCCCTCTGCAGTAGTAAAATACATCTTACTTTTAGGGTTTGTAAAATTTTGAAATGATCATGTGCCATTGCGTGGTGCTTCTTGATTCATGTTAAGGTTTTGAATACTAGCACAAGAGCCAGGCCACTATTGAATTTTTGATAGTTGTATATACTCCTATAATTTGTCAGATGCTAAATTTTGCTTATTTTTTTAGGTTGATTGGGATGAGGAGAAGAATTGTTTTCAAACAATCGCTGCTGCCATTGGGAACTTCTATGCTATGCATCCTCCTCTGTTGCCTAATCCATCAGGTAATGGCTTGCAGTGTTACAAGAGGAGGGTGCTTTCTTGCAGCCCTGGAGGAGGTTCAGAAACAGCTGGTATGGCCCTTTTATCATAAAATCTTTTTGTGATTATTACTATCTAGGTTGAACCATACAAATCTCGTATATTTTTGTATTACTTTGCTCTCTTTCCTATTACTGAAAGAATAAATAATGTTGGACCTGGGTATATGATATGATTCCAAAGAGTTATAAAACGAAAATTGGTGAAACTTCTTGACTAATTATTAGTTTATGCCGAACTTCACATATTATAAAGGAGAAAATTATCACAACTTCATAGACCAAAAAATCTATCCAAAGTTTTACTTATAAAGACTTTCAAGTTAAGACATCATCGATTGCCTCCTGTAAACCTATCTTTTCTTGCTCACTCCTGAAGTGGAAATCTAAGCAAACTAGCATTGTCACCTATAAATTTTTCTTTGTTATCTTGTTCACCAACTTTTCATTCCTTGGAAGCTTCTGAACTTTAGATAGCATGCTTGGGATCATCAGTTTTCTCCCTCTGGTTCCTGTATACGGACTTTGTAGCTTCTTATGTTAGAAAGTTGTTTATCTAAGAATACATCTTACACGTCTAATCAGCTTTTAAAACGAATTGGGAAGGGAGTTGAAATTTGTAATATCAACCCTACGGTTTGCTTCAACAAGAACTATTTAGTTTCTGATCAAAGGAAAAATATTGAGGTTGAGATCAGTATCGGGCAATCTACGACCAACAATACCGAAGTATAAATTGGTTGCTTATCAAATTACTTAGTTACTTTTGTCTTTGCCTCCTATTTTGTTTTCACACAAGACAGATGCAATACCAAAAATTGTATACGACCATCTGACTTCTTACAATACTCTTTCCATACGCAGTATCATTGATAGGTGTTCTATGATATCAGATTTATTGCATCTGAACTATCTGTTTCAAATATTTAACTTCTTTCGAGAAATATGAAAACCTGTGACTAATGTAAAATATTAGTGTAGCATTTTCATTTAATTTAAACTGTTGGATAGACTCAATCTGTGCATGTGCAATACTCCTCATTTACTTGAAAACACTTAATTGTAGCATTGGGTCATTTTCGTAGATAGTGTTCAAACCTGTGACCAATGTAAAATATTAGGGTAGCATTTTCATTCAATTTAAACTGTAGGATAGACTCAATCTGTGCATGTGCAATACTTTTCATTTACTTGGAAATACTTTATTGTAGCATTTGATAATTTGTAAATAGGGTTCAAATTCTACTTTTTTTATTATTTTTTATTTCATTTCCATTATTACATTATTACAGAGGATGAATTCGACCATGAACTACTTTTGGAGGCTGAAAATGCTTGGGCCCAACGTGAATGGTCAATCCAACATATTTTGTTTCCGTCCATGAGACTTTTTCTCAAGCCTCCAACCTCAATGGCTACAAATGGAACATTTGTCCAGGTATTTGAATTTCAGGATTAAATTGTTACTTTTCATTCAGTAGGTTCTTTGCCAATTTTCTGCTTCTCATAATTTTAAAATGCTTGGAAGCACACACATAATAAGCATGTTAAAAGTGTACCAGTTTGGTACTATTCATCTGCAAACATTTTTCATTGCGTATATTTAGCTGAGAGGGATAATAAAAGTGGAGGCTGGAGATTGACGAATGAGTTTAACATTCTGCTTTTGGGTGTCTGTTGTTTTGTAAGAATGATAGAAAAAAGGGACAGTAAGATTCCACTGTGCAGTAAGCAGCAAAGAAATGAACGAGAAGGATTTTTACCTGCATCCCCCCCCTCTTCCCCTTTTGTTCTGCAGTTAGTTTTGAAAATTTTTACACTGTCCTATACACTTCCTTTTTTACCTGAATTTTGCAGTCTGATTCAATTTCATTGCTATGAGAAGAGCTGTTTCTTTGTTTATCGGTTGTGATTCTGCTCGATTCTTGAAGTATCTGATATTATTCTCTATCAGCTCATGCAGTTCAACTGAATTTTATTTCAGTCTTTTATGATTCTGCAGTTTGTGTGTGGTCTATACAATTTAATGCTTTGTAACAAGAAATTATTCACTTTGTAGGTTGCTTCACTGGAGAAACTTTACAAGATTTTTGAAAGGTGCTAATTAGGGCAGAATCCTTCTCAACTCATAACTTTTGCACGGTACTAGAAGTTGTTTTGTTCTTATTTTGGCTCATCCTGAAATTTGCATATAAATGTAAAGAGCGCCATCTTTGTAATAGATTATCTGTAATGCAAACAATGTAAGTGAACATAACTATTTTGGTTTACTGGTATTATATTGTTTAATATACTTGCAACTAAAGTTTTTGTCTTATAAGCAACCTACTATCGTTGGTCCAAATTTGTTTGGTTGCTTGGAGCCTTTAGTTCGATTAGTGATTAGATTCCGGAGTTGGTTACTTTGGGAAAGTGACAATGTGCATCCTGTATAGAGTGTGTAATTACATTTTATGTACTACATTTTTTGTAATGGTCATAAAAAAACTCTTAATTGGAATAACGAATCAAATTGACCATTTTGGTTTGATTTCACTCAAGTCATAAAAAGGTTTTGGTACTGGAATTGACAGTTGCCCTACTTTAGCTCATGTCTTGATTTGAGCGTCCAAAGCTGAGTCAATTAATACATTTTGGGGAAAAAAAAATCATAAATTAAGTGTTAAGTATGTGCCAAATTAATTTTCAGACATTAAGGCCTGTCTGATTCCTCCATTTTCCACCCAAATGTGTTGTTTGATGGCCAAATTTTTTCATGGAATTGCTTATCTACCCTACACCTGTCGTGATCCATTTTCTTGCTTTTTAAGGAAAATCAATTCCTTTGGTTTTGATGGGAATTGGGTTTTCTGTGTTCTTTATTTTTTTAATTTAATTTAATTTTTTTGACAATATAAACAAATTTTATTGTAATTGTAACAAATTTTATCTTTTTAATTGACAATTTTCATGAAAAATAAAGTCAAACAAATATCAAAAGATCCAAAATTTCAACTTTTTTAAGTGGAAAATTATATCAAACATATTTAATTGACAATTCCAAACAAAATAAGTTCTAGACAATTTAATTATCTTGAATTCATTTTCTTTCCATCCGAATTCCATTCTTACAATCAAACGGACAAATATAAAGAAGCGACAATCAGGACAAATTGCGTAATATATTAAGTCAAATCAAATTGACCTTTTTTGGTTTGATTTCACTCGAGTCTTAAAATGGTTTTGTTACTAGAATTGACAGTTGCCCTACTTTAGCTCGTGTCTTGATTCGAGCATCTAGAGTTGAGTCGGTGAATACATTTTGGGGGGAAAAAAATCATAAATCAAGTATTAAGTATGTACCAAATTAATTTTTAGATATTAAGTTAAAACAAAAAATCAGGTATTTATTAATTAACTAAAAATATTTTATTAATTAAATATATTAAGTTCACGATTTTACAATTCATGGTCACATATGCCTAGGTCGCAACTTCATATTATCAAATTAATTGATCACAAATTATTTCATCGGTCACAAATCGAAAACATTTTAGGTCACAAGTTCAAATTATCAATTAATTGGTCATAGATTACTTCGGTGATCACAAATAAAAAATACTAAAGGTTATAATTTATTTGTCGATCACCAAATTTCAAATTAATTGGTCACAAATTATTTTTCATTCACGTATTATCAAAATTTTAGATCACAATTAAATACTTGGTCACTGATAACCAAATAATTGATCACATACACCAAATAGTGGGTCACATACCACCGGTATCAATGCTACTGCCACTGCCATTACAGCCACTTACGATCGACCTTACCCCGCCATTGTTGCCACCACCACCACGGTAGCACCACAAGACCACGCTCCACCACCACCGCCACCGCCACAACCACAATCACCACTACCACCACAATACCAACACGACCACCAATCTCAATCATCACTACCTTAAGCACCATCACCATCATTCAAAATTCACCACCAACCAACAATCACAAAAATCACCTCAAAAACATTGCCACAACAGTGAATTAATCTTTACCACCACAAATTTATAACCATCATAGCCATAGCCACAGCCACCGTCAACGCAACACAAATACCAAACCCACCATCAACACCAACATAAACATCACCTCACTAGCATCGTCAATATCACCACCACTCACCACCGCAGCCAACATCACAACAATAGCACCCAAACACCAAAAAAAAAAAAAAAAAAAAAAAAAAAAAGATCAGATTCAAATTTATCAGTCACCGCCACGACCACTATGACCACAGATCGAGACCTAATTTTTCTAGATCTCCTGTCATTCATCGACGACACACAAATCCAATGCACAGAGGCCGTCTCTCACGTCCAGAGACAGCACTGCTGTGCATGGTTGCGGTGTCGCTTCAAGTCGCGCAGCGACAGTCACAGACAGCTCCGTGCGTTTGGTGGGGGAAGCAACGGTTGGGTGATGGATGAGAGAGGGCAGATGCGGGTATAGGCCGCACTCCTAATTTTTCTAGATCTCCCGTCATTCATCGACGACACACAAATCCAATGCACAGAGGCTGTCTCTCACGTCCAGAGACAGCACTGCTGTGCATGGTTGCGGTGTCGCTTCAAGTCGCGCAGCGACAATCACAGACAGCTCCGTGCGTTTGGTGGGGGAAGCAACGGTTGGGTGATGGATGAGAGAGGGCAGATGCGGGTATAGGCCGCACTTCACGATAGTGGTACGAGGCTACATTGTCGATAGAGAAGATAGAGAGGAGACGTCATAGGTCGTGTGAGAGAGAAAGATATGGGTATTAAGAGATGTAAAGAGAGAAATGAGAGAGAGAGAGAGAGAGAGAGAGAGTTATGGAAATGAAGGTTTTGATAGATGAGTGGATGATGTGTGTTTTGATATCTAATTTGTGAATAATGAAACTCCATCCTTAATTTTTGAATTGTAATCTTTAAACACTTGGGGTTATGTAATTTCTTCATACATTTTTCTCGATATTAAGATTGGCAAGTAGGTAGGGATCTCAATAAGTAATGTGGATTTATTAATAGTAACTTCTAGTTAAAAATAATTTATTATTATTATTATTATTATTATTTTTATTTTTAAAATATAATCTTATTGAAGGCACTCCGCATGCACCACATTCTCTATTCTCTATATAGTGAGTCTAGAAAGTTTCAATCCTCCAAATCAATAAAATAGCAATCAAATCACATCAATATTGCACCGATCTTATGATCTTAAAAGTGAAATTTCAATAAAAATAAGAAACTTAGCCCTTTTTTGAGCTTCATTTTTATTAAAACACATTTTAAAAAATAATAATATTACACCTAATTCGAAATTTTTTCCTTATTTTTAACCATATCCCCTTTACTATAAAAGTTGTCCTCAAAGAAAACAAAAAAATACTGATGCGTTGGTAGTAATTTCAACAAAATTTGTGTGTTATTGACGCCATTGGTAGTCAATTCAACCAAATTTGTGTGTTACTGACGCAATTTAAACTAAATTTTATTATTATTATATAGAAAATATCTTCATTGTGGTCAAATTTGCAAAGATTCGTCAACAGTGTATATATAAAGGGGATAAATATTTTTTGACGTGATTTAGAAAATTTCCTAATAAGCTTTTAAATTAGTTTTAGTGTAAAAAGAGACATGATTTAAAAAATTAAAAAATTTAATAACAAGCTAACTTTAAAAATTTATCAACGATTGTACGGTAGTCGAATATATAAATGTTCTATATTCTCTCAAAGCTCATTTTGAGAACTATATCATAGACACATCAAATGATCTAAATGAATATCGAAAATAGTTAAACGGTTATCAAACGTGTACATTCAAAAATGCAAATAACTCGTCTTTTTTTTTATATTAAAAAATCAATTATTTTCTTGTTTAACTACATGTTTGATGCCCATATAAAATTAAAATAGCAAAATGAAGAATGAAATATTAAAGGGAAACATAGATCATTTTATTTTCTTTTTAATTGCTAAGTAATCAATCAACTGATGCAGTCAATATACGTGATTGGTATGGGACCCATATACACTTAGTATTGCACTTCCTTATTTAATGAAATTAATTCTTTATCACATATGCAGTATTAGAACACGTTGAAAATGTTTCATATAGGTTCAGAAATTATGAACTAGAAATTAAATTTTATATATTTTTTATTAAATTATACAAACTCATTTGTTTAATCTTTTAGGCTGTCAATAATCTGCATCATTAAATACTAGAAAGAGCAAATAACATAATGATAGCTTTAAAATTCCTACATTGCTTTAGTTTGGATGGCTATAGTTTGTATCTTTTAGAAAGTGCAATTTATAGCTTTAAAATTCCTACATTGCTTTAAAATTCCATGAGAATGCTAATGTTCGTGATCCTAACATTACTATATATGGCCATTCCGGTGATTCACATAGAGTTCATTATTACTGCGGTTGTTATGATCCTTTTACAGTATCTGTTACTTTTTTCGTATGGGGAATCTGGTTAGCATGAAGGAATTGAGAGATGCAGAAAGACCTATTTTCAGCCTGAACGTTTGCCAGAATTAGTTACTTTTCCAACTGCAGTTGCCTCTGCGCTAAATTTATAGAAAAAGAAAATCAAGGTTTGGAAAAATATTTTATCGTGCATTCTACTAAGTTTAGCAGTGCAAATGTTAACAAATGATGAATTTCATTTTCAATTCTTTTGCAGTGTTGAATGGAATGAAGCAACGGTCACAGGTTTCTTGTCGAGAATACTATTCATACAAATTACAAATTAGGTATTCCGGTAAGTCTGTGATGCTTCATAGTGGTAGATTGTTTCAGCAGTATGTTGTAGATATGTATGTTAAAATCGAAACTGCAAGATTAGACCTTTTTTGTAACAATAAAAAACTAATTCGAGCTAAACTTTATCAAGGTATTGTAGACATCGTTCAAAATGGAGAGACAAAGGGGTACAAAATTGGAAGAAAATTTGTTTTGCCATAGTTCTTTGCATGTGGACCTATAGATATGCTAAGGAGATACATGGATGCAATGACAATTGTACAATATTATGGAAAATCAGATATATTCTTGACTATAATATGTAATCCAAATTGGTCAGAGATTAGGAAATAACTAAAACACAATGATGAGATTCAAAATCAACAAGATCTAATTAGACGTATATTTAGAGCAAAATTAGAAGAGTTAAAAATTGATTCATATAAAAAAAATCTTTGGCCCTATTGTTGCGCATGTACATGTAATTGAATTTCAAAAAAGAGGGCTCCTCATACATATCTATTGTTGATCTTTA